AGAAAGTAGCGGCTGCCATCTTTCGCAGGAACTCGGAAGGGCCCGCAGAGATCGATGTGCACTACTCCCAGCACCTTCTGCTCTTCACTCCCCTCTTGAGGGAAACTATGTCGAATGAGCTTTCCCCCCACACAAGAGACACACGGTAGATCAGGGTTGGCCGACTTGTCAATATCCAAGCCTGTCGCTGCACCATGCGTCGCCGTCTGCTTGATTGTTTCGACGCCCGCATGAGCAAGTCGAGGATGCCACACGACCATCTTCGCACGTGTATCCGTCGCCAAGGTCCGCAGAGAAATCGCCTCCTCTGCCGATTTCTGCAGCGGCCACACCTGGAGATCTGTGCTGAGCACTCGTCCTCAATAACGAGCGCGTCCAAGGACTGTCCCATCAGTAGAGAGAAGGAGGGTTTCTTCACCTTCATCCTTCAGCTTTAACCCACAATCTTTCAACTGCCCAGCAGACAACAGATTCGCATGGATTCCAGGCACGTAGAGCACATCAGGAATCAGAATCTGCTTCCCAGCTTCACCACGTAGAGCGATAGTTCCGCGACCACACACGTCTTGGAATGCCCCGTTGAATCCGCGAACATGTTTAATGTCGCCGCCTTCATGCATTTCGACAAAGGCTGCATCGTCGCCCATCAGATGATGTGAGCAGCCACTGTCGAGAAGAACAACTGCAGGATCGGCCTCGACGGCTGCAGCAATCGCCTGAAAATCCTCACCATCTTCCGCATTCAGCGAAATGAGCAGAGCGGTCGTCTGCAGCTGGTCCACAACTGGTCCTACCATTGAACAAGAAGGTCCCTTTTTGTTGGTCGAATTGGAGTTGTCGCTCTGCGCTCCAGTCTTCGAAGAACTCTCCTTCTGCGCGGAAGCATTATTCTTCTTGTCGGCACGTTGTTCGCACTGGAACGCAAAGTGACCGACTTCTCCGCAGACCCAGCAAGGTTTCTTCGAGCTCCGTTTGTTGTTCTGCTGTCGACCATCTTTCTTCTGCTGCTCCTTGTTCGACGACTTCTGCTCCGTAGAACCGCCAGTTGTAGAAGAAGACCAACGCTTCTGCTGCTGCTGCTGCTGCTGCTGTCCCGTCGACGCCCAGTTGACCTGTGGCAGAGGTGATTCCTTCCGCTTTTCGAGCTCGAGCGTGCACTCCTCCGCGATAATTCTGCTCGTCAAAGTGTTTTCGTCGAGGGTCTTGCAGTTTTCCGGAGATTGTAGCATTCGTCGAAGGTACTTGTACTCCGCGGGAAGACCTGTGAGGACATGAGTCACATACGAGGCCATCGAATAGTTCATGCCAGCCATTCGCAGATTAGCGAGAATCATCTGCGCACGATTGCAGTAGGTCGTCGCCGTCTCATGCTCCGCCATCTCTAGCGTCGCCAAGCTCCTCTCCAGCTGGCCGATATAGAGATAGTCCGTTGCTTTGTAGGTCTCCATGATGAAGCGCCACGCCTGGTAGCCCGCGTCCACTCGAAGACGACATGACTTCAAGGCGATCTTCACGGATGGAGAGCAGCAGCGCGATATCACCATAAAGGTCAGAAGTTGCGCCGAGCGAAATTGTGTATACTGTGAAGTGTCGCTCAGCCGTGGAATCTTGATCGAGCCGTCGATGAACGGCTTCAGCTGCGCAATTTCAAGTTGAGGTTCGATGGACTCCCTCCAGACGGATAAGTCATGACGTCCTTCGAGAAGCTTCGGCACCACGATTTTGTCGGGAGAAAATTTGAAGTATCCGTAGTCAGGAGCAATTCCGCAGTCTTTCGATGCCGTCGGGTGAGAGATTGCCGAGCTCCCACCAGTCTTCACTGCAGATTCTCGACCGCTCAAGCGTCCACCCCTGCCAGCCGCCTTCTTCGGGCTTGCATCCTTCTTCTTCTGCGAGCCTTCACCAAGGCTCATCAGTTCTCCTTGTCCTAGAACACCTCGTGGCTCCTGCATTCCGCCTTCTTCCGGTTCTTCAGCGTTCTCGTCGTCTCCAGAAGTCTGTGATGCCCCGTCTTCCTCTGAACGAGTCTGCGGATGGTCCATCTCCCATTGAGCTCGTGCTCCCAAGAGCATAAAGTTGAGCTCCTGCTCGGTGAGATCTCCGCCTTCATGACGAGCCATCAAAGCAGCCTCCTGCTCACTTAAACTGTCGAACGTCTCGAGGATTTCCTCAGAGCCCACCATGTCGACTAGCTAAGTTCAATGAGACCTGACGTCGAAGAACGGACTCTATGCGTGTTCGATCCACGCTCACCGCACCATGCAGAGATTTCTGCTCTAACGGGAGTTGGAGCTCTACGAAATGCTTCTCTGCAGCCACGCAAACTTTGTTGTTCACTAAGGAGAAAATTGGCTAAATGTTGAAAAAAGCATAGATTTGGCACACAAGGAAAATTCACTAGAATTGTTGAAAAAATAGAATACAACAAGGGTGAAGTAGAAGCTACCCAACCAATGAACCATGCAGAGAACGTTCGCCCAAGAACGTTTACATAACTACTTTTAGCTGCGCTTTGCCAACTCAGCGTCGGCAGGTGAAAATTACAACACGTGCTTAGTTGGTAATTTTACCTACCTAAAAGTAGTTGTTTTAGCTGTTCACGTTGTTTTAAACAACTTCTGTAACGCACGTTTTCGTAGTTACGAAAACGTGCGCCAGGTTCATTCTGTACAGGTAGTTCAGTTTCTCCCTAGATTGAACACCCTAGTTCCGCGCACTGTTCCCCGGGGTCAATTTCTCAATGTCATGCAATGTTCCGAAATTCCCACGCAAAAGTTCCGAAACGATCGCACTTTCGCGTCGGAGGGGTTCGCCGGTAGAAGATTCGGTCCTCTGCAGAATTTCGCTTCTGCAGATGCGCCATCCTCTGCAGATCCGAACTTCTGCAGATGCGCCCTCTGCAGCTCCACGTTCTGCTCGGCAGATTCGCCTTCGTCTGCAGCGGAACCTGTTTTCCGCTTCTGCGAGGTGACTCTGCTGCAGTGCAGAGTTCCGCGTTGACTTCTGCAGAATTCGCTTTGGCAGAAAGTGACGACCCAGTCTGCAGGGTCAGTGCACACTCAACAGAGACGACTCCAGTGAGGGGGAGATTGTTGATGGGGCACTGGGATTGTTCCCCGGTTGAGTGTGGGAGGGCTACAGGCACAACCTCGGGGGCTATTGGTGTGCTTCCCACCATACAAACATGCCCTTTGACTCAGTTGGTTAGTGAACTGGGTCCTTGTCCGGGGGGGCGCTGTTCGATTCCTGCTGTCGTTGCTTTCAATGGAGTGAAGAGCGAAGTTTCCTTCCTCTGGGTGAGGCCGTTCCCTATGAGGGGAGTGTGGAAAGGACACTGGGATTGACCTCTGGTTTGGCCGGAGGGGCTACAAGCTGAGTGCTTGGGAGGCGTGGGCACGCTCACCCGCTATGCAAACATGCCATTTTAACAAAGTCGGTAGCATGCTGGGCAACAAAAGCAACGGAGGGTCTCAGAGGAAACATGCTGTTGAAGAGCAAGTTGGATGGCAACAGTTGGAAGTGGACAAGTGGATTAGCAGCGATTTGGTCTTATCAGAGGTCAAGACTTACCAGGCCCTAGGATCCCCATATGGAGCAGGAACCCCTTTCTGTCTCCTCAAGCACGGTTACGACCGTTTTTTATAGTATATGCTTGCTCCTTCGGTGTACTGATCAATTATCATAAAAAGAAGAGTTCCGTAGATGTTTTAGGTAATTGAGATGGACATGTGGCGTAAACGTTTTGCCAGTTTACATGAAACGTGATACTAATCTGGATGTAGCTTGTGAGAAGAAGTATAATGTATCACAATATGAGTAAAGATGTGAGTAAATCAAGATACTTTTCCAGTATTCCCATCAGTATGTACGTACCCATGAAAAGGTTCCAACTGGGTGTGAGAAAGATTCCTCCACCAGAATTTCGACCGCGTTCGTCGAATACTGAAAATGTTTTATTTCACGGTGGAGAAACACTTGCGTGAGGAGAGAATGGGTTGGCGAAAATAGCGAAGTCTTGTGCGTAGCGCCTTCGGTGTCGTGAGGTCGCCTCGATTCGCCACTGCAGGGGCTGTCGTGTGCGTGCGAACGTGCTTTCCATTCATTCTTGCATCGAAGCACAACGAAGAGGCACTGGAGGTTGGTAGGCACCCATCCCTTCTCAAATGAAAAGAAATTGGAGCAGCTGGAAAAGTGAGATGCTGGGAAATACAACTGAAGGCGTTTCTTCAGGCCGTAGTTATGGCTGGGGCATCGAGGGAGGGTGGGAATGTAAGCAGCTCTGCAGCTCGCACTGAGAGGGTGTGAGCGAACGCGAGAGAGACACTGGGAAGTAGTAGAGAGAGCGAGAGGGAGTGGTAAAGAGAGGGAAATAGAGAGCGATAAGAAAGTCAACGCACCAGCATTCGCATCGCAGGCACGCTGCTGGTTCGTACGGAGCTGGCCCACACGGGTCAATCCAAGGCCGCGACGATTCGGCCGTTGTTAATGTTGGAGTGGCTCGTGTTATTGCCGATTTCCTACTAGACTTAAGATACGATTTTTGAGACGTCTCAAATGGTTCGTGCTATTGCCGACTTACTACTAGACCACGCTTCTTGAGACCTCTCTAAATGATCCGTGGTATTGCCGTCTTAGTAGACTTAGGATACCCTAGCGACCGACGAAGCCGCCAGTGGTACTAGATTGGTAGCAGCCGTCCGGTTGGAACGAGCTGGGTTGCGTGCCGAGTCGCGCTACGACCGCAGCATCTTAAAGCGTTGCAGAAGCGAAGTCGAATCGTTTACTAGAGGCGCGTCGCAATGCTGCGCATCACGACGGGCGCCGATCGCGGCGGTAAGGGCGGAACAGACGCGACGGACGATGGTGCTGTCACCTCCCCCTCCCCGTCCCTTTCCCCCTCGCCTTCCCCTTTATCCCCCGCGCTTTCCCCTTTCTCCCCCACGCCTCCGCCGTTCTCCCCGTCGTCCGCCTCCGCGCAAATCAGCCGGCGCAGGCTCCACATGAGCTACGACTTCGACGGGGAGAGCAGCAGTGGCGGGGAGGGCGGCGCAGGCGGAAGCGGAAGCGGGCGCCGATTGCGGCAGGGGCACCGCAGCTTCTCTCACCGCTCCGCAGTGCTCTCCCCCCCCAATACCTCCCCCTTAGGATCTCCCGCCGTAGCTTCCCCCGCCGCCAGGCCCGCCAGTCCCCTGGGAAGTCCGCGCAGAAGCGCTCTCGGGGGGGGCGGTGCGTTTGGTGGGGTTGGCGCGCTTGGGGGCCTCGGCGCGCTTGGAGACGGTGGGGGCGGGGGGGACAGTCCCGCGGGGCTGGCGCTTAGGCCCTTGAAGCTGGGAAGGGGGAGTCCGCGCGGGGGCGCAGTCCTCCCTGCGGAAGGGGGAGCGGGGGGAAGGGTCGGCGGAGACGGGGGTACAGGCGCAGGGCGGCGTGATACCGGTGCCGCGGGGGAAGAGAGCGGGCGGAGTGGGACAGGTGTAGCTAGTGAGACGAGGGTGGGGGAGGCTGCGCAGAGTGATGTACTCGCGGGGGAGCAAGAGGCGCGGGCGCAAGGCACAGCGCAACAGCAAGCGCGTGATGGGACGGCAGCGGGGGGCGCCTCCGGAACCCCCAAGTCCGCCCCCGCGTCGCCCAGCTGGCTGGGCGGGTGGGCGGGCCTACTGCTGGGCGCGGGGGGGGGGAGAGGGGGGCGTGGCGGAAGAGGGGAAGGGGGAGGCGGGAAAGGGGGAGGCTGGTGCTGGTAGAACGGGCGGACTGAGCTTGCTGTCCCCGTTTGCTTGGAGGGGAGGGGGGATGTGGGGGGACAGCGGTAAGGGGAGGGTAGGGGAGGGAACGGGGGAAGGGGATGGGACGAAGCAGGGGGAGGGGAGAGAGGGCGGTGAGGGGAGGGCAGCAGGCGGGGAGAAGGGCTTGGGGGGACAGGAGGGCGCAAGGGAGGGAGACGAGGAGGAAGCAGGCGAGGGGGGAGGGGAGGAACCCGAGGAGGGGGAGCGGGAGGGCGCGGGGGATGGGGAAGGGGGGGAAGATGAGGGGCGGACTGTGCAAGTAGGGGCAGGCAGTGGTGATGCGCGGAGCAGGAGTGGGGAGAGCAGGGGCGAAGGGGAGGGGGCGATTGACGATGAGAGTGACTTTGCGTTCCAGGCAGAGCGGTGGGGCGAGGGGGGCACAGCGAGTGGTGGAGTCCGGGGGATGGTGCAGGATGGTGGGGTGATGCAGGATGGTATGGGGATAGACGGTAATTATAAGCCAAATAGAGATGATTATGATAGCGAGGATAGATGGACACGTTGCAAAACAGAGCGAGCTGACCACGAGAAGGCCGATAGTGATAAGAGTGGCAGCAGTGAGCAAGCTAATAACGAGGATAATGGGAAGGAGGAGGCTCGTAGCGATGGCAGTGCACGTGAGGAAGCCAATAGCGAGGACATTGGTAGTGAGGGAGCTAGTAGCGAGGACAGTGAGGGTGATGAGACTAGTATGACGGATGCTGAAAGTGAGGTGGGAAGGAGTGAGAGTGAGAGTGAAAATGAGAGTACGAGTAAGAGTGAGACTGAGAGTGAGAGTGAGAATGAGAGTGAAACCGAGAGTGAGAGTGAGAGTGAGAGTGAGGAGTCTGATGATGGTGTGCGAAAGGAGCAAGAGGGGGGCAGTGAGGGAGCAATGGATGGGGACGGGGAAGCAGGACGTCAAGGTAAGAAGGGTGGGGGGGAGCTGGCTGTGGGGGACGAAGGGGAGAAAGAGGAAAGCGAGGAAGACAAGGAAAGAGAGGAAGAGGAGGAACGAGAGGAAAAGGAGGAAAGGGAGGAAGTGGAGGAAAGAGAGAAAGAGGAGGAAAGAGAGGAAAAGGAGGAAAGAGAAGAAGAGGAGGTAAGAGAAGAAGAGGAGGTAAGAGAAGAAGAGGAGGTAAGAGAAGAAGAGGAGGTAAGGGAAGAAGAGGAGGTAAGAGAAGAAGAGGAGGTAAGAGAAGAAGAGGAGGAACGAGGGAAAGAGGAAAGTGAGGAAGAGGAGGAAAGAGAGGAAGATGAGGAAAGTGAGGAAGAGGAGGAAAGGGGGAAAGATGAGGAAATTGAGGAAGAGGAGGAAAGAGAGGAAGAGGAGGAAAGGGAGGAAGAGGAGGAAAGGGAGAAAGAGGAGGAACGAGAGGAGGATGAACGGAAAGAGCAAGCGGAGGAGATATCACAGGGAGAGGGCGGGAAAGAGGAGGAGAAGGACGATGAGGAGAGTGGGGAGGAAGGAGGGGTGAAGGCGAGGGCAGCTCTTGGTGCTGTAGGTGGTCTGGTTGGTGCTGCTGCTGGTCACGCCCATGATTCTTCTGAGATTGGTGCTGCTGATGGTCATGGTGCTGATGATGGTCATGGTGCTGCTGATGGTCATGGTGCTGCTGATGGTCATGGTGCTGATGATGGTCATGTTGCTGCTGATGGTCATGGTGCTGCTGATGGTCATGGTGCTGCTGATGGTCATGGTGCTGCTGATGGTCATGGTGCTGCTGATGGTCATGGTGCTGCTGATGGTCATGGTGCTGCTGATGGTCATGGTGCTGCTGATGGTCATGGTGCTGCTGATGGTCATGGTGCTGCTGATGGTCATGGTGCTGCTGATGGTCATGGTGCTGCTGATGGTCATGGTGCTGCTGATGGTCATGGTGCTGCTGATGGTCATGGTGCTGCTGATGGTCATGGTGCTGCTGATGGTCATGGTGCTGCTGATGGTCATGGTGCTGCTGATGGTCATGGTGCTGCTGATGGTCATGGTGCTGCTGATGGTCATGGTGCTGCTGATGGTCATGGTGCTGCTGATGGTCATGGTGCTGCTGATGATGGTGGAGAGGGAAGGGGGATGTCCAGGGCGAGTGATGAGGAGAGCAGCAGGGCAGGGCGTGGCAGTGACAGGGATGGGTGCAAGGAAAGGAGGGGAGAGAGTGAGGAGAGAGGGGACATGTTCGAGGAGGGAAGGAGGGAGAGGGAGGAGAGGGAGGAGAGGGAGGAGCAGTGGGTGGAACCCTTGGGTGGGGTGAACGCGGCAGCAGCAACTGGACTGGGGGCTGCTGTGGGTGGTGCTGGGCAAGGAGAGAGTGAGAGCATTGAGAGTGAGAGCGAGAGTGACAGAGATGAGAGTGAGATTGAGGGAGATGAGAGGGCGATTGAGAGTGAGAGTGAGGGGAATGAGGGAGAGAGTGAGAGCAGTGAGAGTGAGAGTGAGAGCGAGGGGGATGAGAGGGAGATTGAGAGTGAGCGTGAGGGGAATGAGGGAGAGAGTGAGAGTGAGAGCGAGGGGACTAAGGGAGAGAGGGAGAGTGAGGGTGATAACGAGGGGGGCGAGGAAAGGGAAGGGCAAGTAGAGTGTGAGAGGGGGAGGTCATTGAAGGGTGTTGAAGCGACACCACCGGTGGGTGCGGCTGAGGGTGATGTGGAGCGGGAACACAGTGAGGCCAGCGAGAGTGAGAGCGATAGTGAGGGGGAGAGTGAGAGTGAGGAGAGTAAGGGTGAAGAGATTGAGAATAAGGACAGTGGGAGTAAGTTGAGCGAGAGTGAGGGAAGTGAGAGTGAGGAGAGTGAGAGTGAGAGTGAGAGTGAGGGTGAGGGTGAGGGTGAGTGTAAGAGAGAGGAGGGAAACGAAGGGCAAGTGGAGTGTGAGAGGGAGGGATCCTTGAAGGGTGTTGAAGCAGCAGCACCGTTGGCTGCTGCTGAGGGTGGTGTGGAGCGGAGACAGAGTAAGGCGAGCGAGAGTGGAAGTGAGAGTGCGGGGACTGGGAATGCGAGGGATAGTGAGAGTGTGGAGGGAGCGGAAGGGAGGGTGGAGCATGGAAAGGAAGGGGAGGGACCCTTGGATGGTGTTGAAGCCGCAACAGTGGCTGCACCAATGGGTGCTGTGGGTGGTGTGGAGCAGGAACAGAGTGAGGGGAGTGAGAGTGAGATTGAGAGTGAAGGGACTGAGAGGCAGAGCGAGAGTGAGGAAACTAAACGTAAGGAGAATGAGAATAAGGACAGTGAGAGTAAGTTGAGCGAGAGTGAGGGAAGTGAGAGTGAGGAGAGTGAGAGCGAGGGTGAGAGTGAGGGAGAGGAGGGAATGGAAGGGCAGGTAGAGTATGAGAAGGAGGGGGCCTTGAAGGGTGTTGGAGCGACCGCACCAGCTGCACTGGTGAGTGGGGATCAGGAACAGAGCGAGAGGAGCGAGAGCGACAACGAGAGTGAGGAGAGTGAAAGTGGGGGTGCGGGTGAGAGAGAGGGGCAGGAAGGGCAGGCGGAGTATGAGGAGGGGTCCTTGAAGGGTGTTGACGTGACCACGCCAGCTGCACTGGTGGCTGCTGCGGTGGGTGGTGTGGAGCAGGAACAGAGTGAGGGGAGCGAGGGTGAGAGTGAGGGTGAGAGCGAGAGTGAGAGTGAGAGTGTGGAAGGAGGGGAAGGGAAGGTGGAGCATAGAAAAGAGGGGGAGGGGCCTTTAGATGGTGTTGAAATCACAGCAGCGGCTGCACCGATGGGTGCTGTGGGTGGTGTGGAGCAGGAAGAGAGTGAGGGGAGTGAGAGTGGGAGTGAGATGGAAGGTGAGAGGGAGAGGGAGAGTGAAACTGAGGAGACTAAGGGTCTGGAGATTGAGAATAAGGAGAGTGGGAGTATGTTGAGCGAGAGTGAGGGAAGTGAGAGTGAGAGTAAGGAGAGTGAGAGGGAGAGTGAGAGGGGGACTGAAAGTGAGACTGAGAATGAGAGTGAGGACGGAAGGAAAGAAAGGGTGGAGCATGGAAAGGAGGGGGAGGGGCTCTTGAATGGTGTTGAAGTCATAGAAGCAGCTGCATTGGTGGGTGCTGCTGTGGGTGGGGTGGAGCTGGAACAGAGTTTGGGGAGTGAGAGCGAGAGCGAGAGCGAGAGTGAGAGTGAGAGCGAGAGCGAGAGTGAGAGTGAGAGTGAAGGGACCGAGAGGAAGATTGGGAGTGAGGAGACTCAGGGTGGGAAGATTGAGAATAAGGAGAGTGAGTGTAAGTTGAGCGAAAGTGAGGGAAGTGAGAGTGAAGAGAGTGAGAATGAGAGTGAGAGTGAGAGTGTGAGTGAGGGAGAGGAGGAAACGGAAGGGCAGGTAGAGTATGAGAAGGAGGAATCCTTGAAGGGTGTTGACGCGACCACACCAGCTACACTGGTGAGTGGGGAGCAGGAACAGAGTGAGGGGAGCGAGAGTGATAGTGAGGGGACTGGGAGTGATTGTGGTAGTGAGAGTGCAATGGGAGGGGTAGGGAGGGTGGAGCCTGGAAAGGAGGGGGAGGGGCTCTTGGATGGTGTTGCAGCCACAGCAGCTGCTGCACCAAGGGGTGCTGTGGGTGGTGTGGAGCAGGAGCAGAGTGAGGGGAGTGAGAGCGAGAGTGAGAGTGAAGGAGACGAGAGCGAGGGTGAGAGTGAGAGTGAGAGTGAGAGAGAGGAGACTAGGGGTGGGGAGATTGAGAAAAATGAAAGTGGGAGTAAGTTGAGCGAGAGAGAGGGAAGTGAGTCTGAGGGGAGTGAGGTTGAGAGTGAGAGTGAGAGTGAGGGAGAGGCGGGAAAGGAAGGGCAGGTAGAGTATGAGAAGGAGGAATCCTTGAAGGGTGTTGACGCGCCAGCGCCAGCTACACTGGTGGCTGCTGCTGTTGGTGGTGTGGAGCAGGAAGAGAGTGAGGGGAGTGAGAGTGATATTGAGAGTGCAGAGTGCGGGGAAGAGAAGGTGGAGCATGGAAACGAAGGGGACGGGCACTTGGAAGGTGTTGCAGCCACAACAGCGGCTGCACCGGTGGGTGCTGCGGATAGTGTGGAGCAGGAAGAGAGTGAGGGGAGTGAGAGTGAGATTGAGAGTGAGAGTGAGACTGAGAGGAAGAGTGAGAGTGAGGGTGAGAGCGGGAGCGAGAGTGGGAGCGAGAGTGGGAGCGAGAGTGGGAGCGAGGGTGGGAGTGAAGGGGCGGTGGAGCATGGACAGGAGGGGCCGTTGGATGGTACTGAGAGCTCAGCTCCTCTAGCTGGATCGATGGCTGCTGCTGTGAGTGGCGTGGGGCAGGGACAGAGAGAGGGGCGCGAGGGTGAGAGTGACAGCGAGGGTGAGGACGGAGAGGAGGGGCAGGTGCAGTGCGGTACGGAGCGGTGCTTGGATGATGATGAAGTGGCAGCGCCAGATGCACCGGTGGTTGCTGCTGTGGGTGGTGTGGGGGAGGGAAAGAGTGAGGGGGGTGAGAGTGAGAGTGACAGCGAGGGTGAGGACAGAGAGGTTGGGCAGGTGAAGTGCGGTACTGAGGGGTGCTTGGATGATGATGAAGTGGCAGCGCCAGATGCACCGGTGGTTGCTGCTGTGGGTGGTGTGGGGCAGGGACAGAGTGAGGAGGGTGAGAGCGAGGAGACTACGGGTGGGGAGATAGGGAATAAGGAGAGTGGGAGTAAGTTGAGCGAGAGTGAGGGAAGTGAGAGTGAGGAGAGTGAGAGTGAGAGTGAGAGTGGGAGCGTGAGTGAAGAAAGCAAGAGTCAGAGTGAGAGAGAGGAGAGTGGGAATGAGAGTGAGAGAGAAGAGCGTGGGAATGAGAGTGAGAAAGAGGAGAGTGGGAGTGAGGGAGGTGGAGAGGGACAAGGAAATGCAGGGGAGATGATGGAACAGAAGGGAGGTGAGGGGAACAACAGCAGGTGGGGTGAGACGGATGGTGGGAGTGAGACCGGGAGTGAGAGTGACAATGAGAGTGAGAGTTTGAGCGAGGGTGAGAGTGAGAGTCACGGTGAACATGTAAGGAGGCTGGTTGATGCTGTTGCTGCTGCTGCTGTTGATGCCGCTGCTGCTGCTGCTGCTGTTGCTGTGGCTGCTGCTGCAGTTGTTACTGCTGCTGCTGCTGCCGCTGCTGCTGATGCTGCTGCTGATGCTGCTGATGCTGATGCTGCTGCTGCTGCTGCTGCTGCTGCTGCTGCTGCTGCTGATGCTGATGCTGATGCTTCTGCTGCCGACGCTGATGCTGATGCTGATGCTGATGCTGATGCTGATGCTGATGCTGCTTCCGATACCTCCTGGGCTGCCTCTGCTTCTGCGACAGGTGTTGGTGAAGGGTCAGACTTGGAACAAGCAGGTGAAGCATACGGGGAGGAGAGCAGAGAGGAGGAAAGTGAGTGTGAGAATGGCAGCTCTACTCAATTTGACGCCCAGGCCACTCAAGCTGATTTCCATGCCACCGGCACGGCTAAAGTACCCGAGAGTGCAGCAGTGCTGGAAGTTCTGAGTCCTGTCTATGCCGATGCCACGTGTAGCACACCCGCCCTGCAGGCTCCCTGGGACGACCATGGCAGCAACTGCTATGCCTCTGGTGGTGGTGCTGGTGAGAGTGCTCGTGGCTTGGTTGCAGCGGTGGATGCAGCGGGTGAGGGGGAGAAGCATGGGGGGAGGGAAAAGGAGAGGGAGGGAGCTGGGGAGGAAGTGCAGGACATGTTTGCGGAAGAGGAGCTGGCGGCTGTGGGCGTGGAGGAGGAAGGGAGTGGGGAAGTGGAGAGCGAGGGAGTGCAGGCAGCAGCAGCGGAGGGTTATGGAGGTGGGGAGGCAGCGAGAGAGGCAGCGAGAGATGCAGCGAGAGAGGCAGCGCAGGACATGTTTCTGAAGGCGGATCGGGTTTCTCTTGGCGTGGCAGAGGGAAGTAGGGATTTGGAGAATAGGGGAGAGAAGAGGGCAGAGGAGAGTGAGGGAGAGAATAGGGCAGATGAGAGCGTGGGAGTGGGGGGAGTGGCATTGAAGGTCGATAGAGCAAGAGGGGGAATGCAGGATATGTTTGTGGAAGAGGAGCTGAGTTCGCTGGGCGTGGAAGAAGGGAGCGGGGCGGTGGAGAGGGAGGGAGAGAAGGGGTTAGTAAAGAATGAGGGATTTGGGGCGGCAGTAGAGGGTGATGGAGGGAGGGCGGCAGTGCAGGTGCAGGATATGTTTGTAGAGGGGGAGCTTTCTGGGCTGGGGGTGGAGGAAGGGAGTAGGACAGTGGAAAGGGAGGGAGAAGAACGGCCAGTGCAGCATGAGGGAGTGAGAATGCGAGCGGAGAGTGAGAGAGGAGAAATGCAGGACATGTTTGCAGAGGGGGAGATTGCTGGGCTGGGCGTGGAGGAAGGGAGCGGGAAAGTGGAGAGCGAGGGAGAGAAGAGGGCAGTGGAGAGGGAGGGAGGCGGGGCGGCAGTGGAGGGTGATGGAGGGAGGCTGGCAGTGCAGGATATGTTTGTAGAGGGGGAGCTGGTTGCTCTGGGCGTGGAGGAAGGGAGGAGGGAAGTGCGGTGTGAGGGGGAGGCGCATGGAGGCGGGGAGGAGGCGGCGACGGCAGTGCAGGATATGTTTGTAGAGGGGGAGCTTGCTGGGGTGGGCGTGGAGGAAGGGAGGGGGATGGTAAAGAGGGAGGGAGCGAAGAAACCAGTTGGTATCGAGGGGCCGAGGGCGGCAGTGGCGAGTGATGCAGGGAGGGCGGCAGTGCAAGACATGTTTGAGGAAGGGGAGCTTGCTGGGCTGGGCGTGGACCGGGAGGGTGTTGAGATAGAGAGGCAGGACGGGGTGGGGGGGTCAAGCGCAGAGGTGGGGGTGGAGGAGCACACAGCTGCAATGCAGGCGCCGCCTGCTGCTGCTGCTGCTGCTGCTGCTGCTGCTGCTGCTGCTGCTGCTGCTGCTGCCGCCGTTGCTGCCGCAGCTTCTGCCGCTGCTGCTGCCTCTGTTCTTCCCATTCTGGCCAGGGACAACACCCCCCACGTCCCTCACGCTCCCCACGCCCCCCACACCCCCCACACCCCCCTCAGCCCCCCCACCACGCCCAGGAGCGGTGTGAGTCCGAATGCACGGCAGCGCATGCAGCGGGCGGCGAGGAAGCTGCAGTTCGTCACGTTCCTGCGCTCGCACATGGGGGGGAAGGCGGAGGCCGGGGCTGGTGGGACACACATGGGGAACATGGCGGAGGGTGGAGCGCACGTGGGGGGGAGGGTGGAGGGTGAGGCGCAGGTTGGGGGAAGAGCGGAGGGTGAGGCAGGTGGTGCGCAGGTGGGAGGCAGGGCGGAGCATAGGACTGATGAGGAGCGACGGAATGACCTTGAAGTCAAACTGGAGAGAGAATCGAGGGTGGGTTGGGACGGCCCTGTGGGTGGTGAGGGGGAGAGCTTGGTAGTTGGTGACAGCACAGCGAGTGTGATGGAGGCGATGCAGCGTGCTGATGGTTCTCTGGGTGGTGTGGGGGAGAGCTTGATAGGTGATGGCGGCACAGCAAGTGTCGAGGATGTGAGCATGGGTGCTGATGGTACTCTGGGTGGTGTGATGGGCCGAGGGGAGAGGCTGAATCAGGTTGGGGATGCACCAGGCTTGCGGGGAGGGGGTGGGAAGGAGATGGGGGCAGAGGCGGCAAGGGAGGGGGGAGAGGGGCCGGAGAGTGAAGGGGATCGGAAAGAGGGAGAAATGGAGGAGAGGAAAGATGGGAGCGTGGAAGTTGAAGGTGGGGAGAGCGAGGAGGAGGGTGGAGTAAGAGAGGGGAGGGTGAGTGAGGTGAGGGAAGAGGAGGGAGAAAGGAGGGAAGAGGAAAGAGAGGGGAGAGAAGAGGTGGGAGAGGGGAGGGAAGAGGAGGGATCAGAGATAGAGAATGAAGGGGAAGGGGGAAGGGGAGGAGAGAGGGAGAGTAAAGTGCAGAAGGAACATGAGGGGAAGGTGAGTGAAGTGGAGGGAGAGAGTGGGGAGAGTGAGGAGGAGGAAGGAGGGCGATATGAGGAGGAGGGATCAAGGGATGGGCAGGCAAGGGGGAATGGCGTGTGGGGCAAGGGAGAGGGGGCAGGGAGTGAGAGGCAGGTGACAGACGATTCAAGAGGAAGTGAGGGACGGCAGGAGGAACAGTATTCTGAGAGCGGTGGGGAGATGCTACAGGTGGAAGAGGGGAGTGAGAAGAAGCAAGAGGTAGAGGCGGAAGGGAGTGATTCGCTTCTGCGAATTCTCAAAAGTGCTCCCGACTCCCCGGCGTTCATTCCGGATTCTCCCACCTTTGGCGTTGCTGTCTCCAGCATTCCGTCTGCCCTCCCTCCTCCTCCTCTTGCTGCTGATGTGAGGGTTGACGAGAGCGAGGGGGGGAAGAGTGAAGAGGAGGGAGAGAGGGCGGAGAGTGAACAGGAGGGAGGGGAGGGAGAGAATGGGGAGAGTGAAGAGGAGGGAGAAGAGGGAGAGAATGGGGAGAGTAAAGAGAAGGGAGAGGAAGGAGAGAAGGGGGAGAGAAAAGAGGGAGAGTTGGCACGACATGAGGAGGGGAGTGCAAGGGGGGTTGACGCAGGTGAGGGTGTCGGTGGTGTGGTTACCCAGGGACCGGGTAAAGGGGGCGAGGAGTGGGTGGGACAGGAGGAGGGAGGGGGTGAATGCAGAGGGGGTGTACAGCAAGAGGGGCATGTGGAGAGGCGAGTGCCAGCAGAGGATGGTGCGCGGCATGATAGCATCAGCGCCAGCAGCGCAGCAGGAGCAGCAGCAGTGGCGGCAGCAGCAGCAGCAGCAGCCGGAGTGGTGTCCGGGGCACTGGAGCCTGGGCAATGGGCTGACACGGTGAGTGTGGTGGGGGGACGGTCGGAGACGCCCTTAACGACCGCTGCTTGCACACATGGAAACGGTCCTCCTTTTGCCACTCGTCTTGTTTCGACACGTCCTTAACCACCGCTCCCATCTCTCGTCCATCCGTTTATTCTGCTCCCCTGCAGCCTACTGGTCTCTCGATTTGCATCTCACTTCCCTTCGTACTTGCTATCCCTCACACCCCCTACTGTCCCTTCCATCCCTATTCGCCCCTTCCTCCCGGTTGCCCGCCTGCCAGCCGGTGGACCAATCAGAAGACGGCGCCACGTCACACACTTCCTGTGAAGGCATCTCCTCTCCCACCCGCACCAACGCTGCTTCTCATGCCGAGTCGCTCTGTAACGAGGATGCCACATCCCCATCGCTCTCCCCCGATGCCACATCCCCGTCCCTCGCCCTGGGCTCTCCCACATTCCACACTGCGTCTCCTGCCACCTCCTCCTCCTCCTCTCTCCGTGCACACACTAGCTCCGCCCATCACCCTGACTCCGCCTCCCCTCGTTCCCCCACCCCCACCGCTCCCCATCTGCCCACCTCGGGCTCTCCTCGCGTCAGTGAAGCTGGGTCCCCCACTTCCATTCCTGATTCCCCCACATTTGGACTCACCAGTACCCCTGCCATTGCCAGCCCTACTTCTGCTGCTGCTACAGCTGCTGCTGCCGTTGTGGGTGAGCCGAGCACGGACTCGCCCACATTCACCCCGGATTCCCCAACCTTTGGGTTCGCTGCCCCCAGCGTCACAAGCGCGGGAGCACCTGCTTCTGCTGCACCTGCTGCTGGCGGGTGGGGGAGTGTCTCTGCAGCGGCTGCAGGCGCCCTCAGCAATTCCTCCCCTCCCACTGTGGATTTCTGGTCCGCTGACTCTGTTGACTCTGCTGACTCTGCTGACTTTGTTGACTCTGCTGACTCTGCTGCTCTCGATCACGATGCACTTGATGGGCCTGAGTGTGATGCGCACAGCGGTGTCGATGCGCAGGGCGAGGATGCTGCAGCTGGGGAGTCGCAAGCAGGAGAGACACTGCAGAAGGCAGCGCAGGGTGGGAAGCAGGAAGCAGAGCAGGAAGGGAAGCAGGAGGCAGAGGAAGGGGGGCAAAAGGAGGCAGAGCAGGGCGGGCAGGGCGGCGAGCGAGTGGACTGTCTGATTGAAGACTCGGTGCACTCCATGCTCTTTGGGGTGCGACCCTCACTACCACTCTCCATTACCACTCTCCATTACCACTCTCCATTACCACTCTCCATTACCACTCTCCATTACCTCCCTCCCCTTTCACCACACGCCGTTAATCACACGCCCCTCACTGTTCCTTGCAACTATCCCGAACTCTCTTAAAGCCAATCTTCTCGCACATGCGACATCTTCTCATCGTCCTTCCTGTCTCTCTCTCCCTGCCCTCCTCGCCCCCATCGCAGGCTGACGGTGCCTCAGGAGCTTCAACTCCAGTCACCTCACAACGTAAGCACTGCCTTCCCTTCCCCTTTTGCACACTGCCCTCCCTCTTGCACACTGCCTCTCTCTCTTGCGCACTGCCTCTCTCTCTTGCACACTGCCCTCTCTCTTGCACACTGCCTCTCTCTCTTGCACACTGCCTCTCTCTCTTGCACACTGCCTCTCTCTCTTGCACACTGCCTCTCTCTCTTGCACACTGCCCTCTCTCTTGCACACTGCCTCTCTCTCTTGCACACTGCCTCTCTCTCTTGCACACTGCCTCTCTCTCTTGCACACTGCCTCTCTCTCTTGCACACTGCCTCTCTCTCTTGCACACTGCCTCTCTCTCTTGCACACTGCCTCTCTCTCTTGCACACTGCCTCTCTCTCTTGCACACTGCCTCTCTCTCTTGCACACTGCCCTCTCTCTTGCACACTGCCTCTCTCTCTTGCACACTGCCTCTCTCTCTTGCACACTGCCTCTCTCTCTTGCACACTGCCTCTCTCTCTTGCACACTGCCCTCTCTCTTGCACACTGCCTCTCTCTCTTGCACACTGCCTCTCTCTCTTGCACACTGCCTCTCTCTTGCACACTGCCTCTCTCTCTTGCACACTGCCTCTCTCTCTTGCACACTGCCTCTCTCTCTTGCACACTGCCCTCTCTCTTGCACACTGCCTCTCTCTCTTGCACACTGCCTCTCTCTCTTGCACACTGCCTCTCTCTCTTGCACACTGCCTCTCTCTCTTGCACACTGCCTCTCTCTCTTGCGCACTGCCTCTCTCTCTTGCACACTGCCCTCTCTCTTGCACACTGCCTCTCTCTCTTGCACACTGCCTCTCTCTCTTGCACACTGCCTCTCTCTCTTGCACACTGCCTCTCTCTCTTGCACACTGCCCTCTCTCTTGCACACTGCCTCTCTCTCTTGCACACTGCCTCTCTCTCTTGCACACTGCCCTCTCTCTTGCACACTGCCTCTCTCTCTTGCACACTGCCTCTCTCTCTTGCACACTGCCTCTCTCTCTTGCACACTGCCTCTCTCTCTTGCACACTGCCCTCTCTCTTGCACACTGCCTCTCTCTCTTGCACACTGCCTCTCTCTCTTGCACACTGCCTCTCTCTCTTGCACACTGCCTCTCTCTCTTGCGCACTGCCTCTCTCTCTTGCACACTGCCCTCTCTCTTGCACACTGCCTCTCTCTCTTGCACACTGCCTCTCTCTCTTGCACACTGCCTCTCTCTCTTGCACACTGCCTCTCTCTCTTGCACACTGCCCTCTCTCTTGCACACTGCCTCTCTCTCTTGCACACTGCCTCTCTCTCTTGCACACTGCCTCTCTCTCTTGCACACTGCCTCTCTCTCTTGCACACTGCCCTCTCTCTTGCACACTGCCTCTCTCTCTTGCACACTGCCTCTCTCTCTTGCACACTGCCTCTCTCTCTTGCACACTGCCTCTCTCTCTTGCACACTGCCCTCTCTCTTGCACACTGCCTCTCTCTCTTGCACACTGCCTCTCTCTCTTGCACACTGCCTCTCTCTCTTGCACACTGCCTCTCTCTCTTGCACACTGCCTCTCTCTCTTGCACACTGCCCTCTCTCTTGCACACTGCCTCTCTCTCTTGCACACTGCCTCTCTCTCTTGCACACTGCCTCTCTCTCTTGCACACTGCCTCTCTCTCTTGCACACTGCCTCTCTCTCTTGCACACTGCCTCTCTCTCTTGCACACTGCCTCTCTCTCTTGCACACTGCCTCTCTCTCTTGCACACTGCCTCTCTCTCTTGCACACTGCCCTCTCTCTTGCACACTGCCTCTCTCTCTTGCACACTGCCTCTCTCTCTTGCACACTGCCTCTCTCTCTTGCACACTGCCTCTCTCTCTTGCGCACTGCCTCTCTCTCTTGCACACTGCCCTCTCTCTTGCACACTGCCTCTCTCTCTTGCACACTGCCTCTCTCTCTTGCACACTGCCTCTCTCTCTTGCACACTGCCTCTCTCTCTTGCACACTGCCTCTCTCTCTTGCACACTGCCCTCTCTCTTGCACACTGCCTCTCTCTCTTGCACACTGCCTCTCTCTCTTGCACACTGCCCTCTCTCTTGCACACTGCCTCTCTCTCTTGCACACTGCCTCTCTCTCTTGCACACTGCCTCTCTCTCTTGCACACTGCCTCTCTCTCTTGCACACTGCCCTCTCTCTTGCACAGTGCCTCTCTCTCTTGCACACTGCCTCTCTCTCTTGCACACTGCCTCTCTCTCTTGCACACTGCCTCTCTCTCTTGCGCACTGCCTCTCTCTCTTGCACACTGCCCTCTCTCTTGCACACTGCCTCTCTCTCTTGCACACTGCCTCTCTCTCTTGCACACTGCCTCTCTCTCTTGCACACTGCCTCTCTCTCTTGCACACTGCCCTCTCTCTTGCACACTGCCTCTCTCTCTTGCACACTGCCTCTCTCTCTTGCACACTGCCTCTCTCTCTTGCACACTGCCTCTCTCTCTTGCACACTGCCCTCTCTCTTGCACACTGCCTCTCTCTCTTGCACACTGCCTCTCTCTCTTGCACACTGCCTCTCTCTCTTGCACACTGCCTCTCTCTCTTGCACACTGCCTCTCTCTCTTGCACACTGCCTCTCTCTCTTGCACACTGCCCTCTCTCTTGCACACTGCCTCTCTCTCTTGCACACTGCCCTCTCTCTTGCACACTGCCTCTCTCTCTTGCACACTGCCTCTCTCTCTTGCGCACTGCCTCTCTCTCTTGCACACTGCCCTCTCTCTTGCACACTGCCTCTCTCTCTTGCACACTGCCTCTCTCTCTTGCACACTGCCTCTCTCTCTTGCACACTGCCTCTCTCTCTTGCACACTGCCCTCTCTCTTGCACACTGCCTCTCTCTCTTTCACACTGCCTCTCTCTCTTGCACACTGCCTCTCTCTCTTGCACACTGCCTCTCTCTCTTGCACACTGCCTCTCTCTCTTGCACACTGCCCTCTCTCTTGCACACTGCCTCTCTCTCTTGCACACTGCCTCTCTCTCTTGCACACTGCCTCTCTCTCTTGCACACTGCCCTCTCTCTTGCACACTGCCTCTCTCTCTTGCACACTGCCCTCTCTCTTGCACACTGCCTCTCTCTCTTGCACACTGCATCTCTCTCTTGCACACTGCCCTCTCTCTTGCACACTGCCTCTCTCTCTTGCACACTGCCTCTCTCTCTTGCACACTGCCTCTCTCTCTTGCACACTGCCTCTCTCTCTTGCACACTGCCTCTCTCTCTTGCACACTGCCTCTCTCTCTTGCACACTGCCTCTCTCTCTTGCACACTGCCTCTCTCTCTTGCACACTGCCTCTCTCTCTTGCACACTGCCCTCTCTCTTGCACACTGCCTCTCTCTCTTGCACACTGACTCTCTCTCTTGCACACTGCCCTCTCTCTTGCACACTGCCTCTCTCTCTTGCACACTGCCCTCTCTCTTGCACACTGCCCTCTCTCTTGCACACTGCCTCTCTCTCTTGCACACTGCCCTCTCTCTTGCACACTGCCTCTCTCTCTTGCACACTGCCCTCTCTCTTGCACACTGCCCTCTCTCTTGCACACTGCCTCTCTCTCTTGCACACTGCCCTCTCTCTTGCACACTGCCCTCTCTCTTGCACACTGCCTCTCTCTCTTGCACACTGCCTCTCTCTCTTGCACACTGCCTCTCTCTCTTGCACACTGCCCTCTCTCTTGCACACTGCCTCTCTCTCTTGCACACTGCCTCTCTCTCTTGCACACTGCCCTCTCTCTTGCACACTGCCTCTCTCTCTTGCACACTGCCCTCTCTCTTGCACACTGCCTCTCTCTCTTGCACACTGCCCTCTCTCTTGCACACTGCCCTCTCGCTTGCACACTGCCTCTCTCTCTTGCACACTGCCTCTCTCTCTTGCACACTGCCTCTCTCTCTTGCACACTGCCCTCTCTCTTGCACACTGCCTCTCTCTCTTGCACACTGCCTCTCTCTCTTGCACACTGCCCTCTCTCTTGCACACTGCCTCTCTCTCTTGCACACTGCCCTCTCTCTTGCACACTGCCTCTCTCTCTTGCACACTGCCCTCTCTCTTGCACACTGCCCTCTCTCTTGCACACTGCCTCTCTCTCTTGCACACTACCCTCTCTCTTGCACACTGCCCTCTCTCTTGCACACTGCCTCTCTCTCTTGCACACTGCCTCTCTCTCTTGCACACTGCCTCTCTCTCTTGCACACTGCCCTCTCTCTTGCACACTGCCTCTCTCTCTTGCACACTGCCTCTCTCTCTTGCACACTGCCTCTCTCTCTTGCACACTGCCCTCTCTCTTGCACACTGCCTCTCTCTCTTGCACACTGCCCTCTCTCTTGCACACTGCCTCTCTCTCTTGCACACTGCCTCTCTCTCTTGCGCACTGCCTCTCTCTCTTGCACACTGCCCTCTCTCTTGCACACTGCCTCTCTCTCTTGCACACTGCCTCTCTCTCTTGCACACTGCCTCTCTCTCTTGCACACTGCCTCTCTCTCTTGCACACTGCCCTCTCTCTTGCACACTGCCTCTCTCTCTTGCACACTGCCCTCTCTCTTGCACACTGCCCTCTCTCTTGCACACTGCCTCTCTCTCTTGCACACTGCCTCTCTCTCTTGCACACTGCCTCTCTCTCTTGCACGCTGCCCTCTCTCTTGCACACTGCCTCTCTCTCTTGCACACTGCCTCTCTCTCTTGCACACTGCCTCTCTCTCTTGCACACTGCCCTCTCTCTTGCACACTGCCCTCTCTCTTGCACACTGCCTCTCTCTCTTGCACACTGCCCTCTCTCTTGCACACTGCCCTCTCTCTTGCACACTGCCTCTCTCTCTTGCACACTGCCTCTCTCTCTTGCACACTGCCTCTCTCTCTTGCACACTGCCCTCTCT